ATTTATAACCAAGAAAAAAGAATACAACAAGAAGTAAAGAAAAAAATAAAACAAGAAATTAAAAGAAAAAAAAACAAATGAAAAAATTATAAAGGAAATCAAAACAACAAACTAGGGGGTATTAATGGGTCATGGGACCCACGGTAAGAACGAAGTTCTTTAAACATGAGATGGGTATGGACACAATTTCTCAGGTAACAGGGGGGTCGCCAGACCCACAGGAAGAACGAAACTCTGTAAACGTTAGTACTGCATTCATGTTGTTTACTAAAACAAAAATTTGAAAAACAAATGAAAAAAAAAAAACAATAAGTAGTTTAGTACTCACGATGGTTGAACTTCATAAGTACTGTATTTATGCACAACGTTCTCACAAAGTTCAACCATCGTGTATAGACACAATTTCTCAGGTAACAAGGGGGTCGCCAGACCCACAGGAAGAACGAAACTCTGTAAACGTTAGTACTGCATTCATGTTGTTTACTAAAACAAAAACTTGAAAAACAAATAAAAAAAAAAAAAAAAAAAATAGTTTAGTACTCACGATGGTTGAACTTCGTGAGTACTGTATTTATGCACAACGTTCTCACAAAGTTCAACCATCGTGAGTACTAAACTACTTTTATTTTATTTTATTCGTTTTTCAAGTTTTTGTTTTAGTAAACAACATGAATGCAGTACTAACGTTTACAGAGCTCCGTTTTTTCTATGGGTCCTACTTCGTTCTTACCGTGGGTCCCATGACCCATTAATACCCCCTGGTTTGTTGTTTTAATTTCCTTTATAATTTATTCATTTGTTTTTTTTTTCTTTTAATTTCTTTTTATTGGTGACACTGGTCAATCCTAGAGTTTCAGGGTGGATGAAGACCTAGGTCATTTGCCCATTAGAGAAGAGTGTCATCGGTAACTGGGATATCCAGCGGCACGACTATCATCTACATTCTCGATGCAGCTTGATGAACTGCCGGCAGACGACTACAAAAATTGTTGAGATGCTCCAACCTATTATAACCATACTTATTTCATTCTGTTGCAGGTAGCCTCGATTTTATGTCAACACCGCCTAGTGGATCCTACTGAACTAAAGTAAAAAGTTGGATTATTTTTTCAAAATTTTGAGCTTATTTATTGCTACTGTTATTAAATTTTTCAAGATAAAAACTATACTAAAACCATCTAGGAAGTGTCAAGAATCGGTATGCAAAATTTCAGCGAAATCGGTTCAGTAGTTTTCGCGGTTAGCGATTACAACGGTTTTAGCGACTTTGCTTTATGTATTAGTAAGAATACCTATACTAATCGAGAGAGAAATTTTAACCGCTCTAGTAACTAAGAAGTGGGGGAGCCTTGTCTCCACGCATAAAGTTCGAAGGAGAAGCCAACTGTGATGGGAGTATGTTCCTGGCCCCACATTCCTCATCTTTGTTTATCATGGAAAGCTACTATCTAGGTGGTGGGGATTTTTTGTGACTAGTCAAAGGGGTGCAACAACTACTTATATGTAAACTACACGTAATTTTCTCAAGCAAGAAATCTTATATGGCTGCCCATCTTTCCCCTAGAAATACTAGAATAAAACATGCCAGAGCCCTAGTAGTTTGGAAGTGGCAACGATACGTGAAGCAAAAGAGAAGTCTGCCTACGAGTCTTCTTCTCTCGTTATTACACCAACTCGTGCATAGTACCAACTTGCACAAACTTTGTCTGAAAGTTATACACCATACTAACGAAATTTGACGAAAACACAGGCAGACTCGCTGGCAGCGAACACTCTGTCTCCACGTGTCTTGAAATTTGTTTCCTGGCGTGCTCTATTTTAGTACATCTATGATCTTCCCTTTAACTATTAAAAGCACACACAGTATCATACATTTGACTAAAACTATTTGAATTTCAATTCAGATTCCTTATTTTTTGACAAGGGAATTAGAAATATAAAGTTGTGGTTCATAAGATCTATATACTTGTCATATCTGACACTTTTGGTTCAGATTGTAGTTAATAACTCGTAGTATAACTACATTGAGTATATATGTTCAAAGAGCTTACTTTGAGCTCTAATATCTTGAAATTTTTACCAGAAAGCAGTTTGAAAAACGCATCACTAGATTCGGGTTTGCAATACTAGGTAAGTGAAACCTTCTTCAAATACAAGTATTGTAAGTATTTACCTATATAAAATTAATTCAGGACGTACCACTAGAGTTATACGGACGTACTAAACCCATATAAAATCAAATATTACTACCAGTTATAGTTGAATTGGTAAGAAGTCATGATAAGGTACAGCTGATCTAATGGAGCAAGGGTTTGATTCCTCACCAGGTCAACTTTTTAACAGAAAAATCTGGCTACAATGTGATTACGTGTCTCGCAGCTGGCTTTGCACCTCAGGGTAACCCGAGTGTAAACTTTGTCTTAACAACATCATTATTTATCTTTTAAATGATTAAAATACAGTTGATATGTACAATATGAAACAATGCAGATTGATATTGAAATCAAAGTCAAGAAATTGTGATTTTTATCCACGTTTTTTAGTGACACATAATAATTACATTGTATTAAAAACAATTATATTTTTTAATAATTTTAATTTTCTTATGCTTTAAGTAAGTTTTCATATACTTTAATCAATTGACTGATTTACTGTTTCAACACACGTTGGATGCACTGATTGCATAATATAATAATGAAGTTAACTGTAGCAAAATGTGATACATGTGCCGTTAGTTAGTATGCATTTAAAACACATAACTTTTTCACCCTAGAAAACCACAAGTTTTACGCAATTCTTGTATCAGAAGTTGAGAAACTTGGGAAGCCTACGTCTGCCGTTCTTTAGCGTACATGTTACACATCCAGACTCTACGTTATTTTTACACAAGCTCACCAATGACACCATACTTGCGTCAAATTGTGTCAAACTTACTTAGATGACTATCACCAAAGTAATGAAGAAGACGGTATTAAATTATTATGTTTTTAATTATCATAAGTTGGAGTGTAGTAAACAATTATAGTAAAATAATACAGTGTTGTTAAATTAATTAATTCTATGTCGTTTCTCTATAGCTTGAGAATTTCCAAACACATATCATAGAAAAATGCCTTAAAAAATTTTAACAATACTCAAAAAGGGGAAAAAATTTACATTTAAACCTAAGTATAACTACAGCAGTTGAAAAAATAGTTAGTTTTGGTATTTTAATATCTTAGTAGTTAAATAAAGTTTAATTTTTTCATATCTACATAAGTTTTGATTCTAAAAATAAAAATAGTGTTATTTATAACCACTTAATTTCTTATCAGGTGGACTTTGTGTAGCTGTTTTTAAACTATTTTCGTCTTTAACAGACCTAATTGGTAGTGGATTGCTTAAATGAAGTTTTTCTTGTCGACTGGCAGCCCGTGTTAAGCAAGCAAGTGCACCAATAAGTACAAAAAAGCCGATGATTGCGAGACCTCCAGAGATAGTAGTTCGAGCAATTGGAGGTAAATCGATAGCCAATCTCATTAGTGATGTAACATCGTTAGGTAATTGGTCAATGCCCTGTAATAAAAAAAATTCTTTTTTATTGGTTGATTAACATACAATACTACATCTTTTGTTTTATTTTTAGTGTGTAAGTGGTTGTAATTACATTGTGGTTAATACATAAAAAAAACATAAGGTTAGATGTATCCGTGAGTACAATGAAGCCAGTAGTTTACGATGTCTACTACTTTACTATTAGTAAGGTTGTTGCGAATAACTAACCAAATAATAAATGATTTGACACAGAAATTGAGAATTTCACAGAACAAGATATTTTCTCACTATTGGTCAGTGTATTTTCTCGCAAAGATTAAGCGTAATTTGGGAGCAAGCCAATATAACAGTATTATATTAGGACTAAAAATAAAATTGTTTAAAAGCGAGATCTGAAGGTAAGTTCTATAAATTGATTTCAATATGTTTATATATGTGTGTTCGCAAAAATATTCGCCAGCTTACCATCTTGAGTGCTACACATAGTCACCTATGTAACGATTAAAACTTGTACCTTGTCTTTATTACTGTATAGTCCAAAACGTCGAATGTTATTTATTTCAATAAATACTTGATAGCATTACTACTTGAAGCATTATTTTCAACATTTATCATCAGCTATTACCTGAGTCTGATCAAAATTAAACTTTTATAAATAATACAGATAAAATATAATAAGATCTTATTATTATGTTTACAAATTGACCAATCTGTCCCTATTTGTGCACCTCAATATTTTTGTTACTCTTTGAAAATCTAAAAAGATTTTTGATTTCTTATGTTTTTGGCATTACCTTTAAGTTAAGGAGCCTGCACGGAAGACTTATATACTTAAGGAAAAAGAAGGATACTAATGGAAGAAAGAACTAGGGAGGTAGAGACTAGGAATATAAGATACATAAGAACCCTGAAATCTAAATGCAATACAATACACAATATCAATGACCTCGACTTATAGGAGGATGATGATTCATAGGTGACATCAAAATTGAACCAACAAGATCCATGGCACCTGCAGCAGATGTAGATCATTCATCAGTGTTGACAAATGTCAGTATTATTTATTATACACTATTCAAAACTAAGATCATCTGTCACAAACTGTTCACAATATACTATGACCAATAATATAAAGGTAAATTCAGTAAACAGTTGCATCCACTTAAAGATGTATAGATTTTGACAAAAATTAAACTGTTAAGCGTGAACAAGATATACTGCATTATAATAATCAATAACATAAATATTTCGAACAGTATTCTGTATAAATAATCTCCTTTGTGCTAGTCACAAGATAACCATTAATAAAACGTTAACGGTACAGCTGTTCAAGAGATTGACAATAATCAGTGTGTTAATGTGCCACAGAAATGACAAATAGAGCCATGAATAATTTCACAAGCGCCTTAAGTCTGGTTACTTTGAGCACTAGAGTTTAATTCTATAATGAATAAAGTAATCAATTAATTGCATTAACAAGAATAATTCAGTGTGCGTGTGGACTTTCTAACTTATAAAAAAAAACAACAATAATAACAAAAATCTCTAATGACGTGATCTCATCAGCTTACTTGCCACACTGTTAGTAAATACATTAGTAATTAAGTAATAACGCGTTCTTAACAGGCAACACAGTGCACTTTCATGCCACTTATGTAATTAATGAAGCAATCATTTACTAGAAAAGTCCCTACAATAATGTTAATTACGCTTCCATGCAGCCATATAAATAATAAAACAATAGCCTACACTGAAAAAAAATTAAATTAAAGTTTACTACAGTTTTATTACGGAATTAAATTCAAAACAATGTAAAATGAGTCTTTAAAATAAATCAAGTTCTATATGTCAGAAGTATGTCAAACAGTATTACCTGAATGAGAAAAAAAAGTTAAAAATGATGATATTCATTAATATATTTTAAATATGAACCTACGTAAATAGCGTTAATGTACGCATGTCGATTCACAATGTGTGTGCCAGCTGTTTTAAGCACATCTGGAAAGTTTACTTGGATTTAACGAAGTCATGTAGTAAAATGACTTATAATTGAGTTCATCATTTTTGACTATTGTTACAATACGCAATGTGCTTGTTACTGATACAACGCTGTTCAAAGGGTCATACGTTCGATTCCAAGTCGACTGAGTTAGTGAGTGCAGATTTTTTCAAAATTGTTATCACCGGATAATTTCCTATACAACCCCGGCTGTTTTGGGGCGAGTTTTTTTGTGGAATTTTTTTTCATAGAAATTCCAGAGTTTTTTCCTTGCCTCACAGGTCTTCGGGCCTGAGTAAATGCGAGACAATATTGAGGTGTTAGGGCTATACGTAGGGATTAGTGGACCTGATGCAAGACAGGGATTGCTGGTTTTATCGGTGAAGAGTGGTCCCTTATATGGTGACAACAGTTTGGAAAAAATCTGCACTTACTAACTCAGTCGACTTGGAATCGAACGTACGACCCTTAGAACAGCGTTGTATCACTAACAAACATGCTTACCACTGAGGAGCCAACGCCAGTCTTTAGCGTATGTTTAAGTTATCGTACCTGATAAACAATATAAGAAATATAAGAGCGCATACGCTAAACAACACAAGAAATATAAGGAAAAATTTAATCTTATTTTGCTACTTTAAATTGATGCATGTATTTGTATCATACCATATCAAGACATATAAAAAAACATAATTTTGTACATGATTAATCCCTTGTTATGAAATTTAAAGCTCAGAGCACCAAGAACGTTATAATTGCATGTAAATTAAAATTAAAATGATAAAAACTGATTTATGATTGTACTAGAAGTGATAAATAAAAATAACAAGAAAATAACTGAGTTGTTCCTTATTTTTGTATGTTTATTATTGTTTGCACTCACTGCATTTTAAGTATTAAAGCGTATAGTTTTAAAACCTTCATACAGTTTTGGATATGTATAACTTATTTCATTAAAAATGAAAATTTGGAAAACGAAATCATAATTTTTGTTTATAATAAATACAAATTATTTATGGATGTTGATATTTTAATTTTAAAATGCCATTCACAGAAAATAAAAAAACGTTTTACTATATTACAGCTTCTCTCTGCAAATCCTTTCCTAGCTCTAACTTTTTGTAAATATTGTTTGAGTACTTACACTGTAAGAAAGTATTATATAACTATCTGTAAAAAAGTAATATACAAATAAACGTGTTTTCTAGAAAAAACCGATTTTGTCTTACACCCCTACTGAAAGTAAGACTTTGTTTTCCTATTTTTAAAAAGCAAAGTACAACATTACTCCTGGGTAGAAAATTGCATTTACTGCTTTTAAGAAAAGTATATTGATATCTTCTGCACAGTTGCTATTCTCATCATCGGTTTGGGTAACTACTTACACCCAGAAAGAAATTTTACACTTTTTTTTCCTTGGTGCATTACTACTTTTTGTTTAAAGTAGTGGGAAAGAAAAAATATTCATACACACTCATCTGGCTATTCCTTTGTTAGTGTAGGACTCACCCGGTGTACCTACTAACTAAAAATTAACCTCCCTAAATGGGATAGGTCCATTAGAACTTATCCCCTAGAGGACAAAAGGGGTCTGCAAAAAGAAGGAAGATAAAAAATATCGAAGAAATTGAAAGGGCGGCTCGCTATCAACAAGATGAGAGGAGAGGCACTTACGCATCTGGGCAAAACTCGAATATTGGCTGGCGTGGGAACAAAGTTAGAAAAACTTAAATAATGCTCCTATCGTATGTGCACGTAATGTGATGTTCACTGTGTATTGTGGGTTTGGGGGCATATTTGTTAATGGTGTAAGTGTTATTTTTGGTGTGTAATATACAATTATCAAAATTTTATTTTTGCAATTCATTAACTGTCGAAGATAACGCTACAACAAGCGGGAATTGCTTTCAATAAAATTAAAATGGTTAAGACACTGAATGTTCCTTGTATACAGCTATACGTGAGATTAAGGCTTTGCTTTAATTTTTTGTACTAGTTATCATTTTTGTTTCTGTATTATATTTTTCTATCTTTAATATTTTTAATCTCGTTTTATGACGTATCTTATCTACTATACCTACTTGCTGATTTATTTTAATCATGCCATAATTCTTGAATTTTGTTCATAAGCTTAAAATTTTACATGAACATTATTTATAACTTTCGTTGGAAAATTAATGTCAATGTTATAATCAGATTTTTTATCATTTTTATATTTTATCTTATCAACACTTTAAAAAGTGTTAGTCTCTTATGAATTGTTCCTCCAACGAAGTCTTAAATTTTGTTATTTAAGAATCATGTGTGTTTATTATGTGATATTTAAGCAACAATATTCTAATTGGAATTAAACTTCCAACGATGGCTGTATGGTTCTTGAGAAATGAGGTGGCATCTGAATGAAAACCTCGTCAACAAACCATCCGTCTTCTGGAAAGTAAGCCCATAGATTAAGGTATTAGCTGACAACAGATGTAAGCTACAAAAATAAAAAAACAACATTCCAACAAAGAAATGGTTCTAAGGCTCATACATTTTTATAAAACATAATTTTACACAAAAATACTCATCTGAAAATATGCTATCTTCATCCTTTCTTCTAGGTAAATAAGAAACCATTCCAATTACAAACAGGTATGAGATCTAGAGTTAACTTTTTTATCTATGAACTACTTCAATTGCAATGATATTTTCAAATCATATTTTTTTTAAACAAAAATGCATTCCACAACATGACCTACCGATACGGAGTATAATCATTCTATGTATTACTTTGACATCGCTTTTTTTTCCTTTTTAAAATAAATCAATATCCATTCAAAACATAAAATAGATATAAATTTGGTATTTTTCTACACCTTTACTGCCAACAAACACTCCTCATTACTATAGCAGACAGCAGAGCACATATAGAGTTTGTTATCCGAAGACGGAAACCTATGTATCACAAGAGGATATCTCCGATGCCTTTTTTATCGACAGAGGCTGCTGTTAGCGCTGTTACCTTCCCAACGAAAATTAA